GAAGGTAGGCCGAGTAGAGGAGTTAGTAGCTAGAGGTAGGTAGCTAGTAGGTGCTAATAGGTGCAGGACGCTCCTAGGTAGGACGCAGGATAGCTCACGCTTCTTCAGGGAAGCTCCTCCTGCCTGAGGGCGGGGGAGTTTCCTTCAAGAAGCGCTCGCACAATTTACTTGGTTCCTAGATTTTCTGGGAAACGTAAGATTCAGACAAGCAAGAAAAGGTAAATTCGTTTCTTTGTGTTTGCGATGCGCCTCGTACTCGCCTCTGGACAAGCGACGAATGAAGAGAGACCGAGCCCCATTTTGCGGCAAAGACCTGCAAAGGCAATTGCTGATCCGAAGTGAATGTTGGATCGGCCAATGATTCTGTCTACTCACGAGTGGTTCTGAATCCATAGGTCCAAATTGTGCAGGGTGGCTGAGCCTTGCTAACGACTGCATGTACATGTCCAGGGAGTCCTGGCTTAAAAACAGCATTTTTTCCAGACCGGAGCAAAGCAGAATCCGTGATGAAAGCTGGGAGCTTGTTCCCAAAGCATGTCTCGTCCCACTCGATTCAGAAACAGCAAAAACGTGTGTTTCTTGGTTCTTGCTTCAGGAATCACTGGAGGTGACTTTGATCCCATGCTTTTGTCTTCTGGAAATGCTCTTGAAGGGTGATCAAGGCTGGGGTTGGAGAGCACATGAAAGACGGCCCAAGGTGCCTCTCAAACTTAAAGTTGAATCAAAACAACAACAAAAAAAGGCCTACCTTGGTCCATGTCCAGGCCTAAGTTTGGGTCAGTCAGCCTAATGTTTGACGTCCACTAGAGTCACTAGGGAGACGTCCTCTGATACAGCCTCATAGGACGCTGCTGCACAGGGAAGGACCTGAGTTTGCAGCAAGTGTTGGAAACCCCTGGTGGTGCCGTACCCCTGGTGGGCCTTTAAACTGGCGAACAACTTGAAACAGCAAACTGCACAGCCGCTGGAGATTGTCTCGAGTTCACTTTTAGGTTGGAGGCCATCGCTAGTAGGTTGGTTGCCAACGCTACTAAGTTACTAGGTTGAAGGCCATCGCTATTAGAAACAATGAAAAAATAAAAGGATGAATGGTCTATATATTATGTGATATAACTTCTTTATAATGTTTCCAAACACGTCACTGAGTCCCACTGCTGCGGCCACCGAATTTCGCGCGTTGCGCCGCTGTTGCAGGGGAGTGGAGGGTCTTTCATGCCTGACTGAGAATCCAGCTTGCATTAAAGGCAACAGTGGAGGCTTAAACTTGACATCCTCAAAACTAGGGAGGGAAGCTTGAGGGGTACGTAGACCGGATTACAAGTAACCTCATGTCGTGGACATAAATGGGTGCAGCTTTGGTGATGCTATGCCCACGCTTCCTATCGCTTCCTTGTCAAAGCCAACCTTGGAGCCGAAGCAGCTTTTTTGCTCCACGATCCCTGATATTTGCCCAGCAACATTCCAAGTTGATTGTCAAACCTCGGATAGGTTCCTGCGGGAATATCTATTGACAGCGTAGGCAGGCAGGCAGGCAGGCAGGCAGGCAGGCAGGCAGGCCCAGAGTTTGTCTTTTCACTGCCTTCGTGTTGCAAAGCAACTTTTTTTGATTGTCAACCCTCTGTTGGCAAAGTGTAAGACTGAACTGGCTCACCGAAGGCAAGCTTGGCTTGGAGGCGGTTTGGCCCCGCAATGCACAGGGACGCAAACAAAGCAATTGAGTGTCAGCTGCAAAAATCTCCACAAAAACGAAAGTGTCACAACAAATGGTGCAAAAGCCTCTCATCTGTTCACCTCTCATCATCACATGAACCTGATCCGACTCCTCTTCCTTTTCCTCTTCCTTTTCCTCTTCCTCTTCTCATCTACCCTGCTACCCTCCTCTTCTCCCATCACTCGTGTTCTTGCTTCGACCCAGGCTTTTGGGAGAGCTTAGAGCAACATGCGTATACTTTTCGGATGGCAAGGAATCCCATGCTATCTCGCAAAAGGTCATGAAATGTCAAGCATCTGTATCTGCCAAGATCGTTGCGTGGGCCGTTGCCTCGTACTTGTTGGCGACCCATCACTGCGTCTATCTCTGGCCTAGGATAAATCACAAGGTCTTATGACAAATGATATCCAACACGGTCATACAGCATCGAATCATATCGAATGGCTCTCCAGAGTCCTTGCAGGTGTTGAAGCATTGTGGATAACCCTAAGGTGAAACTGGCATTCAGAATAACTACTTTCTTAGAGGAACTCTGTGCATTATCGAAATGGTTCCACTAGTTTGGGGCCTCATTGCTGGCTCCCGAAATCGGTTGGCTAGGCAGTAGCGCAGGAGAGGTTATTCTTTCTTTGTTTGGGTTTCGCCTGTCCCTGCTTTTTTGCTTGGTGCGATGCTTGGTTTGATCTCCACTCTAGTGCGCTTCGAGTGGGTGTTGGGAGTTGGGCGCCTATCTTCAGGAATTGTGGCGCGGCGCATTGCCATTTTTCTAGCCCGCGCCTACCTAATATACATAATAAAGTAGGTGCCTACTTAAGTAAGTAAGGGAGTAAGCTTCTAGGTAGGATGCAGATGGCTCACGCACTAATGATTTGGTTCCTAGATTGTTCTCCAGTGCACTCATATTTTCTGGCAAAAACTCTTACTTTATCCTAGTGACTAAGGGATTGGCGTGAGAATCGCGAGGTCCCAGCCCTGATTCTTCAGGCAATGAATAACAAAGTGCAAAGAACCGTCAATAGCTTTGAGCAACTTGAGAATGCTCGAAGCATTAAAACAATCGTCTGGCCTCTTTGCATTGCAACATAGAGTCCTCGACCAGGCTGTGAATCATCCTGTTAAAACAGCGTGTGCAGAATATGCTTGAAGTCGATTGACATGCTGTCCTTATTAGCCCTATGACAACGGACATTGCTGACATTACTAGTGACATTACTGTTTCTTAGTAGTACACGAAGGCGCTTTCCAAACTCTTTACAAAACAAGATCGACAAAACGATTGAACACCATCACACACCTGCAAAGCAGCCCCGGAACAGGCCTTGAGCTTTCGGCAGTGAGAACAGTGGTACAGTTTTGCAGTCCATAGTGGTTGATTCGCTGATAGCTAAAACCCATGTGCATGTCATAGCAAAATTGGACTGTCCAAAACCCTGAATGCAAGTCCAGCATAGCGTAGCTATGCTATTCCTTTGCAATTCACAGAACTGGACCACGGAAATTGAGGCAGAAACAATTGCGGTTCCTAGTGGGCTCAGCGACCTGAGCAGTGGAGCGCCTCTATGCAGTCTCCTCTGTAAATTAGTCTATTATGCTTAAGTTTCCCTAAAGATCTAGGAACCAAATGAATAGTGCGAGCGCTTCTTCAAGGAAGCTTCCCCCGCCACCTTTAGGGCGGCGGGGGGAGTTTCCTTGAAGAGGCGTGAGCTATCCTGCGTCCAAGGTAGTAGCGTTCTTGTAGGTAGTAGCTACCACTAGCTACCTACCTCTAGCTACTTCCTACCTACCTCTCGCGGCCTCGCCCCTAAAAAAAGGCTCTTTTAAGCTTTTGGCGTTGTGGACCTGTAAGACTGCATGGGAGACCTCGAAATTATAGCGAGTTCCGCTGAGACCTCTCCCACAAGCAAAACTCAGACCTATTCCGAAGAGCTGCTCCTTCCCTGCCGGAAACAAGGAAGCGAGTGTGGCATGGGCATAAACGATGTAATAATATGTAATAATTGGATGGTTCGAGTCGGTTCAAGTACGTGTGTCCAACCTCTTCGGTCTCGGCTGATCCCAAGGCAACGCATTTGGAATCTCGTTCTTAGCCCGTACGGGTGCTCCCTGGCAAGAAAGAAAGAAAGAATTGACTTGTGCCTTACATTGTTCTTTTCTGAGATGTCAAACTGTGCCTGAGATGAGATCACTTCAGCGTGCCTCACAGGTTCTATGGCAGATCTTGACAAAATGGCACAACACAAAACTGGCCTTCCTTTGGGATGATTGCTAGGAGTTCCCGTGCAGCAAACTGCCCTGAGAAGGCACGAGAAAATTATTGCTCACGAACGCTTCAACTTCGTAACTGCGCATCAACCATCCAAGGGTGGCCAGCAACTGCCTTACCTCCTCTAAGCCACACAAGCTCAGCTTAGCGTATCAACCAATCTATCAAACAAACCTATCAACCTTCGTCCTTCAAATGAAAACTGGTTGTAGCCCGAGTGTTCCCTATGAATGGCAATAAATCAACCTCCGCAAATCACATTCGCGACGTTCTCAGTCAATGTCCATCCCAAACTCAACTGCAACTATCAATAATACTCAATCATGGTATCTGTAGATTTCTGCTTCCAAAATAGATGCCCGCACCCTGATCTGTTTCGATCTTGTCTTCTGTGACTTCTACTGCTGTTTCGCCTATGCTTTGCAGCCAGAATATGAGGTGTATCTATTGACTATCTTCCTGTACAGGGTGTTCTGGATTGACTGTAAAAACGAGAAAACAAGTAATACTTACAGTACAAGTAGCTCATTCGTTCTGCTTCCGTTACAGTTCCTTTCATGTACTGTACTCCATGTATCTTCTTCATCATTGGAATTGTCTGCATGCACGAGCAGTCAAACCGACGGCCTCCTGCCAGGCTTTTGTGCTGGCCTTGCTACACAAAGCATCAGGAACTTGGACTCTTGGTGAATCAAATTAAAGAAGCTTCTGCTACAAGAAGCTTGATCTATGGTAGCGCCTGTCAACCTATGTCAGCTTAAATACCAATTCGATTTATCAAAATAAAAGTGCGCAGTTGAGCCTTTACCTCAAGATTAAGAAAGCACGTCTGCTACCACAGCGGCCATCAACAGTAATGAAAGTACTGGATTCTGAAACCTCCTATGCTTTTTTGGTTGTCTAACTTTATGAGACAAGCCCTTATAAAATCCCGACCAGCTTTACGTCTCGACTGTCCAAGAGCGGCCAAAGAAATTTAAGCTGGGCACTCCTCAGAGTTGCAAAGAAGGCTTTCTCGCAAGAATTCTAGCATGTGACCTTGCGAGGTTGGTCTCCAAGACTTAGACTTAGATTTCAGCGGAATAAAAAATGTAAGGCGGCCACTCTGTGCACTATAGGTACAGTGTAGAACAGCTACTAAAAAACGTTTGACAGCTCTGGTGGCAGGTATCGAGCAGAAATTGGCAACATTCTAGGCACATTGAATCTGAATCAAAAACTTGTTCATTGAATTGACATGCGGATTCAAAGTAAGAAAGGAAACTTGAAACTTGCACAGCTGCTGCGGCTTCTGTGCGCCACGTTTTCATGCGGCGCTCCAGAAGCCTTGCCCCAAAAGTGTGGGTACCGCCTGGCATCCACAATTCACCCACGCCCAAGCACTCGGAAGCAAAATGAGAATCTGGGACTTGGAAAGTTCCCGGGCCAAAACAGTAGGACATCGAAAAGAAGCTGTCACCCTTCCCCCATGGGCACGCTCATTCAGGGAAAAGTCATCCCAGTCGTACAAAGTCACACCGTTTAACTCCAAAACCCCATGGGCACACTGTTCACGCAAACAACTCTTCATAGTCATCAAAACAACAAATCTCCTGAGCACACCCACACTAAAACCATGTTTTGCCAATTTTGTTGTGTCATTTTGATACATAAACACCATGGCACGCCCTCTTTCACCATCAATGGTTCTGGGAATAGCTGCATCCCATAAAACACAATGGCACACCCCCTACTTGAAACTCTGGTCCTGCTTGAAACCCGGTAGCCTGGTGAAACAACCGTTGCAAGCGAGCAACACAAGCCTCTTTCTCTTCGACCATGTGAGCATGATCATAGCGGAGAAAATTGTGTTTCATAAACCAAAAGGTACAATTGTGGCAACAAGAGAACGTGTCAGTGAGAGCGCTGTGTGTGGATCATGTCCCCAAGCAACATCTAAAACACCAAGGGCACGCTATCACAAGGAATACTTATTAAAATCATAATAAAAGATATGGAACAACTAGAAACATGCGATCCTGCAAGTGCACGCTGCAAAAGGATGACTTTGAACGAGACAAGACGACTTAACCCAAGTACCCAGCCCAGTAGCTGTCTTGATAAGTCAGGAATTGAGTTGACTTCAGAAAGAAAAAACACTTGACTTGCAAGAATAACTCAAAGTAGTTTGTATATATATATATAGTTATATAAATAGATTGAACAGCACCATCAACAACTCGTGACCGAGTGTCTCCGGATGAGTCAGAAGCGCCCAAGGCCTCCAAGCCAAGCGAGAGAGCCAAGCAGTGCTTGCTAGTGAAGGCTACATGAAGCAAAGAATTCTCACGAATACATTCGCATGTAGTCAATGTCGTCTCTCGTCTTGAATTCTAGTGTCTAGACTTATTTCATGATATGTCAGGCCATCCTGAAGCTGTGGCAGCTGCGGGTCAGTGTATAATGGAAAAGCCAGGTTCCCAGGCACTTGGCATTTGCGCAAATCGCCCTGCGGCTCCTTGTGGAGGATCGACGATTTGCCTTGGGAAAATAAGTGCTTCGTGGACACGACGTGTCTTACAGCACGCTGGCACATTGTTCCCATGGTTCCCTCTGAACCTGTTAATGTGAATTAGTAACGTGAAATGCTTAATGAAACCAAAAACGGTCTGTCATCATCTACTACCACTTGCACTGGTCATGTTATACTAAGCACTCTGCGCTCCCAAGCTCGAGCAACTGAGACCTCAAGGATCGAAAAACCTGGTCCAACCGTTGGACTGTTCCTCAATAGATTGAAGTTCAATGAGGCCCTCCATATTCTGGGTGTAGCAAAAAGAATACAGCTGCATCACATTTGGCTCATAGCTTCCAAGGGCGGAAGATACTACCCTAGGAGTGAAACATTTGCTACATAGAGCCTTCTGGGCACACCAAAATTGAATAAAACTGAGACATGCAGCCAAATCCTACAAAGGTGTAACATCATTCACGGCCCTCCAGGTCTGCGGTGGTCCGTCGTTCCAAGCTGCCGGATTGTCACGAAGAAGCTGCTCCATTTGGAAAACGGTTTCATCATCTATCTGAGCGCAAGCACCGCCAGGGCTACAAGGGCTAACATCCAGAAATACATTAACAAAATAAAAGAAACTTACAGTATCTTACAGTAAGGATTGGAAACAGTTTGGCCCGCGCCTTGCAAAAGTCTAGCCTCTTGCCATGGGCAGTGGCTTTTGTTGCCAGAATCTGTGGCGGGTCCACTTTGCAACATTTGGAGAGATCGGGAGGTCAATTCGTCAATTGGAAAGCATCTGGCAAAGCCCTGTTCAAAACCTTGCAAAGCCTTCAAAACGACAACAAATGCTGATTTGGCAAAGACAAATGTGCGGCCTGTCCGCTCTCACCTAGGTAAAGCTGCACAGTCAACCTGCCTTTGCTCACAATCAGAATCTGAGCAGAAAAGCAGTGAGCGGAAATGCCGTAGCATGGCCAAGCTTGAAGAGTCTCTGTTTGAGATTTCATCACGAGAATTTAAGACTCTGGCCATGATGCAAAAGCTTGTAGTCTACATCCGCTCTAGAGCCTGCAACGCCAAACTGACGGTGGATAAAAAAAACAGCACTGTGACATGCGCTGACACTCTCAGGTAACATGCGACTCTTCAAGTGTTTTCCGTTTAAGTTTCTTCTGTCGGAGTTTTGCAGTCCTGTGTAAGTCAAATGGATGCCAGCACTTGGCCTTTGATTGACCAATTGAACGCTGTGATAAACATTGACTTACCATTGCCATGCTTCACTACACATTGCCAAGCTGTTTGTTTGTGGGGTTGTCTTGTGCCTTCCTTCGGCTTTCCTGTCTTTCCTATTTATCCTGCTTTTCAGATGCCAACACAATGAGGTTGTGTCTGATGTTGTACCTGCGCATGGTGAAGGACCTCCTTGACTGAACATGTAGTTATATATATAGAAACAAAACTTCAGGAAATTACTCTACGAATGCATTGAACTAGTCATGACGAGAGCTTCCCCTTGGCACTTTCATCCAAGACATGTGGCTACAAGTACCTTACACACTGTGCTCACCGCAAAGCCAAGGTCTTCTTCCGGCGAAGGAAGCCCATTGTTGCGAAGGCCTAGAGTTGCGGGTCGCTTCGGATCATCTACTGCTATGGTGCTGTTTAAGAGTTGTTCTTCTTTTCGCAGCTGAGCTTATCTTTTCAAAACATGTCGGTTCCTTGGCCAACTGGACACGGCACTTTTCGACACTGGTCAGATGTATACTGGCCAATTTGCAACTCACTGGACAAATCAAAGGCATCCACCCCTTGCATGTGCAACCTTAGCAACAAGTTCACGTACGGTGTCCATCATGGAAGTCTTGATGCACTTCACTTTACTTGATACATTGAGGAGCAAGCTGGGACTTTGGTCTATCTTTGCATCCAACCTTGCCAAGCATATTCCCAACATAGAAGTCTGACTCTGTTGTCCGACCTTTACATCGCTTGGCGTCCATGCACGAAGGTTGTAAGGCATGGGATAGTTGGCCTGAACCCAAGGTCCTTCCTGCATCTGGCGACGTAACGGGCGGCATGCGACACGCCACACTCCACTAGGGTGCCTTCGCTGCACTGTTGGTGGTGCAAACCCTTAGCATCTGGATTGCCTCAGTGAGCAATCAGCGATCAGCCATGAACTCTTGACTAGTATGCTGCAAACAACCCCATGCAGCACAATGCGACAAATACATGCAAAGTTGAGATCGATCATGCGAATCATACAGAACGCTTGAGCCAGTCTTGCCAGAGATGACCAACAATCTGAGCACTACCAAGTTCCCAAGCTGCGGCGCTTGGCACCTGCTCAAGCATCTCAGTGTCTGGCAAAAACTGTGTTAACTCTGACCCAGATTCTCGACACTCTCCAAAACAATTTTTCATAGCTTTCCCGATGCTCTCTCACAACAACTTTCGTTAATGACAACATCTTTCAGAATCGTTCACCTCATCCAAGTCCGAGAAAATCACAAGAGCATCATCCGGAAGATCTGGTCTCCTGAGGCCACATTGATGGCAGTTTTTTTTGCAATGCTAGCAATGATCAGACAAATGTACTTGGTATACTGTGTATATATAGATATGCATGTGTAAAGCATTGGCAGCAGTAAAAGCTTCGGGATCACGTTCGCCTCCGGATCAGCGTCTGTAAAACGCACGCTCGTTGGATGCCCTCCGCTGAGAACATCGTCTCGGAGCCGAGACACAAGAGAGCTTAGTTTTCCATAGCACCAAACTGAACTGATGAGTCGAATATGGTCGAAACGCAATGAAACGCATTCCTACTGAGAGAGGTTCTCATTTAGATGATGCGCTTCCAACAAAGATGTGGCTGCCCAAAGTCTTGAGCTCGAAACACCACCTCTCTTCTTCGATTTGGAAGTCCTCGGAGTCCGGACCAGGTGGGACTTTCAAATCGTCAAGATCAGCGGCCAGTCTGGGAGCCCATCTTGGGAATCTAAGCCTCCGTCACATTCCGCATCTTTTCAACCTCTCGGAAGTATTTTGAGCAGTTGTCAAGCAAAACCTCAAACCAAGGGCAGCGGATCCAAAGCCAGAGACTGTTCGTCCATATACCCTTCTCTGTCTCTGAGGCTCTATCGTGCTCGATTTGTGGAAGGAAATCCTTGAATCGCTCTTTTTGCCTAACGAAATTAGATTTCCAAGCGGAGGTAGGGTTCTCCAAACTTCAAGACCTCAATTATAACATTGAGTGGTTTGCCTCGAAAAGTGCAAAGGCTTCTTGTCTCCTGATTGCCCGCCGATGATGCAAATCAATTCATTTGAAGTATGTGGTCCTCGTAGTCCATATGCAGATTCTGAGACAACGTACACATCCTGACACAAAGGAATGAAACCAAAATCTGTCATAATATTGGCACCAAGGTGCCTTCTATTGGTGTCAGCAAGTCTTCCGATTTGGCAAAATCTGCTGAGATCCCTGTTGCAGGAGTAGTATTTTCACCACATCACATTTTGATCATAAGCTGGATCGACAAGAGTTGCTCGAGCTATCACTCACAGAAACCTACGTTGGCACTGAATGATATTTGAAAAGAGTGCGCAAAGCACAACTCTCCAGATTCAGACTTGGGAATAAAGTAGTTTTGGCCAGATCTCCCAAACTTTGCTCAACAATGCTCAACATATTTCAGTTTGAATCTGCCAAGAGTTTCAAACTCTCTAGCGCACAAGCAAAATCAGGAATATCGCACCCTCCAGGTGCTGAAGATTCAGTCTCAGTGATGGAACCACGAGGCAGAGGAGCTGACAAAGGCTTCAATTGCGATAAGGCATTCTGGACAGATCGCTGTGTACAAGGTTCTTCTCACCGCAAAGCTCGAAAATAGGTCTCAAAGGCGCCGGTGTCAATCAAGTCGACCTGGCAGCCGGCTGACATTCCGGTTTGCCGTAGATCGGTACTACAGTGCTGAAACGATTCTCTTCCAAAGCCAAATTCCGGGTTGAACTTTGATCTGAAACTCTTAATTCTTAGGATACTGCAGGCTCTTGCGAAGAGCTACCTTGGTCCCTGCCCCGACCTGCCGGGTACCAGCGGCACGCCCAAAGTTTCCATGAATCTCTTGGGGGCGATCAGGTAAACCAGCAATGCCTCACTCAGCAAGACTTATTCAGCTCTTTCCAACCACCAAAGCACTTAATGCAATCTGAAAAACCCTTGCTGACGCATACTTGTACTGATACTGCACACTATATACCTGTGCATGTCCAGCAGCAGCAGAAGCACCACCAAGACAGGCAACCCCATGACCACCACACGACCACGGAGAAAATCACAATGACGACCTGGACAACAATGACGACGAGGACGACAATGACGACAACGACAACACTGCCAGCAAGAAGCAACAGTGACAGCAAAAGCAACAACTAAAACCCCAACAAGGAAGACCAGGAGAATGACCAAACAACAACCATACAACAACAGCTGCGAGAACACAAACAAGAACAAAATGAAGACCTGAAAGATCTGACACATCATGAGACAACCGAGCGGAAAAGCTGCAGGCAAATGACACAGAATCAACAACCTGCTTGAGGAACAAGCAACGAACTGCAGCGGCAAAAGCAATGTAAGGGGGCTGGCCTTCTGGGCATGCAGCCGGTTCTCCGCCTGGTCAAAGACGACGGACCTTGGAGTGCGAGGACAAGCTGCTTAGGTCCACTTGCTGTCGGCTTATCATTGTCATCTTCACACCGAGGAAAGGGACACCACAAGAGCAATGATTGCTAGAATGTTTGAATACCAGTACAAGAAAACAAGAAAGAAAGAAACCAAAAAACAAGTGGGTGTCTGGCTGAGGTCCGTCAATCACTTCGGCAGTCTGTTCCATTCCACGAGCTGCCGGTAAGCCTTGGGGAAAGGTTGACATGTTGCAATTGTTTGACATTGTTTGACTATGTCTGCCAGGTTCTTTGCCTAGTTCTTGTTCGCGAACAAACTCACAAACAGCTGGTTTCGCTTTCAACCTTCGTCTATCAATCTTCTCGAGGTCTGGGCAAGCTAAGCAAGCTAGGTCATCTACAGTTCATAAAGATTGCGTCTGGTTTTGCCAACTTCATCAGGTCAGCGGTGACCTGCACAGTAGAGAAGCTCTACGTGACCCCTCACCGGGTTGCTGTATAGCGCCTGGAAAGGCATGAAGAGCTTCTTTCTCGCCTCTTCTTGATCCTTTGGAATGCCATAGCCTCATCTCAATGTGACACATAAGGGAATTGCATACAAAAGAACTCATGACATCAAGAATGCGAAGTACACCTTGTCCATAAATCCGAAGAAAGTGCAAGTGTGTAAGAAGTGTCAGGGACCAACTCATCCAGCTGTCACAGTACACGACATCAACTCCAGTCATCGCCTCCGGCACAAAAGCAAATTGTTGGTCTTCAGGGACAATCAGATGCTTGTCTTGATGCCACAACAGTCACAACAGCTCAACAGTTCCAACCACATTGTTCCAACTTTGCTTGGGTCAAATCCATTATCGTGGTAAACCCCCATGCAACGTGTGGCATTTTGTTGCAGCCTCCTCCGCAGTAGGAATCACACGGACTTTGGACCTCAGTATCAAAGTCGAAGTTGTGCTGGATGTAAAAAAGGCAATGTCATGAAGCAGCAAAAATGCTTGCAGACTCACGGGTTCAGTCTGTGGCCCTGTTTTTGCAATCAGCTCGTTGACCTCCGTCCACACCTTAGAGATGCAATTTGACTATATAATTGTCAAATTAGGACGCTACTAGGGGCTCCTGGCCTTACTACTAGGAACAAGGACGCTACTAGGGGCTCCTGGCCGTACTACTAGTAACAATGTTTGCTATTTGAAACAAAAATTCAATCAGAATTTCTTCCAATCGCTTGCCCCTCAGTAAGCTCAGGCCCGCTCTGCTTTCTCGATCTCGCCGGCCCCTGCCTTGGAGGCACAGAGTTAGACTTGGCTTCCAATCGACAAGGCCAACGTGCGTGCCATGTTCAGATTGAAGCCCATCAACGCCGCAGTTCCTCACATGCGTACCAACCGGTTCATGTGCATGGGCACATGAATGCTGTCAGAGTTGACAATTTGTTGCCTTTAAACTTTAAACTTTTCTGAGGTTGCTGCGCATTAAATCGTACAAAACCTGAGGCCAGGATTGAAATCGCTCGAGGGAGTTATTTCTCCATCGAGACATGGCAGACCATTAGCAGTTGCTCAGGGTGCCGGCATTGTTTTCCAAGTCGCCAAAGTATGCCATGGTGAAATTTGCCATGGACCCCACCATTTGGGCACCCTGCGAGGAAAGAGTGTGTTCCAGGCAAGGACAGCAAAGGAACCCAGTGAATACCTATGCGCCCATGCGCCTTGTGCTCAAAAATAGTCAACAAATCTGCACACATTTGCATAGGGTGCCTCAAACTTGGGGAGGGCAAACTTGTCAGGCAGCGACCATATCCAAAAGATTCTGTGCTGGTTTGGCGTAGTTGCCGGGGTTACGGGGTTAATCCGAAGCATCTGCGCGGTAAAAACGGTAAAAATCGATTTTTTTTCCGTTTTTACCGGGGGGGCGCCCCTTTTTCTCTACCATATCCGCGGTAAAAACGGTAAAAATCAAAAATTTTCTGTGTTTACCGTTTTCCCCGGGGGGGCACCCCTTTTTCGTCTACCATATCCGCGGTAAAAACGGTAAAAATCGACTAGACGACGAGTGGCCCGAAAGCATTTTTCATCACGTAGGAACTCAGAGTGCGAGTTATCTGTTAAGTGTGCATTGTGAAGTGTTAAGTCGAGTGAGTTGAGGCAGTGTGTGGGTCTCCGCGTGTGTATCTATGTCCGTGTGTATATGAGTCTCTGTCTGTGTGTGTGTGTCCGAATAAGTTGAGGCAGTGCGTGGGTCTCTGTGTGTGATGTGTGTGTGTGTCCACTCCTGTTTCCAAGGACACTACTCTAGCTATTTCTATTCCTATGACTTTTCAGACCTTGTACAGTAGCAGGGGGTGGTAGCAAGGCAGAGAGTCTACCACCAACGAAGACGCTCTC